CGTCCACTTTACAAGTTATCCTCCATATTTTTAATTATGATATTTAAAAATGATTATTAAAAGCCCATATTTCACATGAAACTTTTACTTTTGCGGGAGATTGTAAAGGTTATGATTAATTGGTAACGGGACATCTTGTCGTCCAATTCAGTCTGTAATCATACTTGTGATTAACAAATCGGACTTCCGCTTCGCGGTCGTTCGATTTTGTCGTCCGAAAGTAACGGTCCCCCCAAAAGCAACGGCTCCCCGAAAGTAACGTTAATTTTTTACCTTCCTATTGAACTCCGAAAGTAACGGTTCCCCCGAAAGTAGCGGCCCTTTAGAAGTCACTAAAAGAGAAAGTCTCTCTTCTCAAGCGCGGGCCATGCGGATGGAGCAGCCTAAATGCAGGATTGAACATTGACTTGAAGAGTTATCTGTGATTTTATTTCCAACCTGACTGAATTTTTCTTGAAACTATGATTTATAAGCTGTGTTTGTCTAGCAGCAGTCAAAGAATATAGAATATAATATAGAATATAACGTTTTTTAACCATCCGAAAGTAACGGCTACCCGCGCCGAAAGTAGCGACCCCTTTTGCCTGCTAAATGCGAAAGTAACGGGGGCCGTTACTTTAGGAATTCTACGGTGCTCACAGACCGAATTGGGCTCTACTCAGTCCTATTACCATTAGGTGTCACTAAATTGTCATACAAAGAAATGGCGGAAAGCATCATGTGGGGGAGTTGCAAAAATTGCAAAAATCCGAGGAGTGGTGTAGACTTGAATGGGGATTGAATATTCGTCTTTTAACAAGGATTTCTTCAAATTGATAGCATTTACATAATGCTTGAAAACCTTTGTATTTCTACCATAGTAACGAAAGCAATGATGTGTAAAAGTACTATATATCGGGTAAAATATGAAGAGAGGGCTTCCTGCATGGCATAAGGAATATTGCATTCAATTCTTGGTGTAGTAATCACCTCTAAAAGTCACAAGGATGGTTCTCAACAATACCCAAGGATTTAAATTTGGATCGGTTTTATTTTAAAGTCAACGTCTACCTTGTCCCCGTATCGCTTTCTAAGACCTGGTAAGCATTACGTAAGCCAGGAATTTGACATACGAGTTCCTTGAAACGAGAGTATCAAGACTCGTTTGGATCAATCTTTGTGCAGCCTCTTGCAGCAGCGTTCAACCTGTCCAAATAGTGCGGACAAAGCAGCTCCAACATTTTCTCCAATAAGGATGCCTATAGATATTGGGACTTTTAAAGTCAGGAAACTGGGCCGTGCGAAAGGTACTTATTGTTTATCAGCAATTGAATTGGGAAACTAAGTAAAAATAGTGCTTGCGTTACCCCGGGTACTAGAGGGTTTTTTTCGACACTGGAAACCGCGCAAGAAAAACCTCTGGCACCCAGGGTATGGTTGCGTATTCTCAATCGTCTTTCTGATAAGGACTATATTCAGTGAATAGTGGCCCGCATTTATAGTAGGTGGCTAGACGCTTTTGTAAAATTGATAGTGTATGATTCGACTCAAATGCACAATTATGTGAGACCAGAAATCTACTTTCTTTTTAAAGGTGACCCCTCACAAGTTCTTAATTAACAACGTAGAGATAACGGTGTTCGACACACCAGGATTAGCAGATGGAACTGGCAACGAGACAGACTATCTGGAAAAAATCAAGCAAAACGTAATTACTTTCGATGTGTTCATTTACTGCACAGAAATGAACACGCGACGTTTTCGCAACGACGACATCAAAACAGTCCAGAGGCTGACAGAGGCTTTCGGTTCGCAGCTGTGGGAACACGCAGTTGTGGTATTAACGTTTGCCAACGAAGTTCAACCACCACCCAGCCACGAGGATGCGAATCCACAAGAGTTCTTTGACGAACGTGTACGACTTTTCAAAAAAAAGATTCAAGATGTCGTGTTGAAAGTCGGAGTGCCAGGAGAAGCAGTCATTAATGTGCCATTTGTGGCTGCTGGAGACATAAGCGAGCCGCGATTGCCAGGTATCGACAACTGGTTGACAGCTTTTTGGATTGCAACGTTCAAGCGCTTAAACCGAAGTGCGCGACCCACATTTCTTCTTGCAAGCATTGCTCGGTTTAATTGCGCTTCACCCTCCGAGCAAGAGACACTAAGAAGAGGTCGTCCCTTTAGAAGAAGCTTACCACCAGAGCAGTTACTGGGGGAAAATCAACTGCAAAAGCAAAGGCAACGACGAAGCTTTCACGGTTTCGAGTCCGCCCATCATGATCAATGCAGTGACGTCAACGCCGACAATGATGATGTCCCCCGTTCGTTAACTAGAAGCCATTCTATGGTGGAGGAAAGAACACCTCCAAAGCCCAAGCCCATCAGTC